TAATCGAAAGTTCAAGCTTAGTTTGTATAAAATTGCCATAATAATAACAGTTTGCAAGAAATAATAAGCTGGATCAAATTAGAAGACTAGGGAGCAGTGCAGTCTGCTACATTAACTGAAATGCCTTAGAATTAGTAAAGATAATTTTAGCCTAGCTTAATAGCGCCCGTTATACATTATTGGCTATGTATCATAAGATTGGCAATGAAAGCCAAGTTGTTTCACTAAATTTTGTCTTGCTCCTATTGCGTATTTTCAGATTATAGATTATCAATTTAAATCTGGTAAGATGGCATGCAGAAATTATACAATTAAAAATATGAAACCGTAATTTATGAAATAAAGAGCAATTACTATCTAAAGGGTATCAAAATTTACAAAAAAAAGTTTAATATTTATTTGTTTACTTTATTAAACATTTCTTTCAATGTAAGTTGTTTAAGTTGCTTCGTTTTTTGTGCTAATACTTTCTCTTTAATTCTCTTTTCTATAAACAGACATAATTTCTTGTTCAGTTACAAAGTTCCACTGTTCAAATCCTGTAATTGCTGTGTCGAGAATACCGACTAACTTGTCAATCGAAATTTTTTCGTTTTCAAAAACCTCTCTGTCACTTTCTTCACTATCGGCAGTGCGCATGTGTAAACGCTTTACTGGCTTTACGCGCATGCGTAGCGGATGCGCGCATTGAATGCACATGCGTAAACGCTTTATGCGTATGCGTAAGTTTGTGGTTTTGAGGTCCGAATTATAGATATTCCGGATAATGGATGTTTGATTACGGACTTTGTGCTGTACTATGTTTTTAAGTAAACAAATAAAATTGCAGCAAATGGCAATTTGTCAGTTAAACAAGGAAAAAAAATATAATGTATTATTTTTCATTTAATTACTCCATGTAATTTTTACAGATTATATGTTAGTTTGTTTAATGTGTTATCTGAAATATTTATATATCAGATTAGTTACAAAATACTGCACTCCAGAATATATAGCATGTATTTTAAATAAGTAATCAATAAAAAAATTTCAAAACAAATATGCAGAAACAAAGGCCTCCTTATAAAATCAATTTAGGTATTTAATTCTTTTTGCAATCTTTTGAAAGCTTGTAATTCAATAAAATTTAATAATTATTTCAGTTGGAGTTAATTAATAGTTTGGTCCTAAATATGGTTCTTTTCCCTATATGCTTTTTAACACTTTTCTCTATATCCCTTTCCCTCTACTCAAATTAATGAATGTTAGCTTCATAGGTCAGATAATTAATTCTATCTATCATTCATTAATTCTTATATTTACTGCTTGACAAATTACAAACCCAAAATGGATAAAAGATTTTTGGAAATATACCTTTACAAATCATATTTATCTTACCAGTTTTTGGTAATGGCCATTATTTTTATTCAATGATTCATAAATAATTTCTTTACTATTAAATCATTTAGAACTTAGACAAATTTGTATTGCTTACTCTTTTGAATGTGAGAACTTTTTTGGTTCACTAGAAAGACTTTCTATATGGTTTTATTCATTTGCACTAATTCTAGTACACATTTATTTTTAACAGCCATAAACATATATAATATATAAAAAGTCAGGGCACCGGATTTTAAAAAGTAATTCCTTTGTTTCTGCATTATACATGTGAACATATAGAATATGATGACTAAGTATCATTTCTGAATATTCAATCAATGTTAACATCTATATAAATTTATTCTACATACATCATTCTAACAAAGAACAAGGATTAAAATGTAGTTAAATTTCAAGCAGCCAATAAATAAACCTCTATAAATAAGTTTTTATAAATAGACTTTACCATAACTTCATGTTTAATTCACATGACCTCTAATTTTCAGTAATACAAACAATGATGCTAAGTTTTAAATTTCTAAATAACTTCTTAACAGCTTTAGTTTGAAATAAAAAATTTTTAAACATCTACAATAAAAGATTTGAAATAAAAATATATAAATAATTATTGCAACCTGCATAAGTAATGTAGCCACACTGTTAGCAATAATTATATAAAAAAAATAATATATTTTAAAATAAAATACACAGAAGTTATAACAAAGCGTAAGTGCATAGCAGCCTCAAGTTTACAACAATTAAACTTTTGCATGCATACAACAATCAACATTTTTATTATTAGTATTTTTTAATATATTAATATATACAACTAATATTAAACTTCACTTTTTTGAATTTACAATCATTACATGTTCAAAACGTAATTTGATTTTTTAGTGGAAATTTCAATAACATTCAGTAATGAAAGAACACCAAATTCTATTGAATCAACTGGCAGTTTTTATAAATGTGTTCACATATTATATACACACCCATACAGAACAAAGACATTTTTATTAACAAAAAGTGAGGTAGAAATATTAATAAAAACAATGAAATACGAACACAAAACGTAGAAGAAATATCACATTCAAAAACAGTTTATGATGGGTTTGAACTCTACTTTGAGGAAAATTCAGAAAGAACAAACTGATAAAGGAAAATTAAGTATGTTTTCACTGTTCCCGATAGTATTCCAAAGAGCTTAGCATCTTTAGCATATCCAACCGTTGCGTGCACATATACAATTTTTTTTTTGTAATTATAAATGTATATAAGAATGCTTAAGGTAGAATTAGGAGAGCTGTGTGTATATAATCCATAATACATAAAATTGCTAAATAATTCATCACACAATCTTTAAAATAAATCAAGTGTATAGCAATTATTCTTCTTTTTAATCTTAATTTCCATCAAAATAAAACAGCAATGTAAACAAAAATAAACAGCAGGTGCCTTATGAAATGAGGAAAAAATATGGACAGAGTTAAATGTTGTTTTGAATGCTGATTTAATTTACAGAATTCAGATAAAGCTAAATGTTCATAAAGATAAAATATATTTAATACTAATTTAATTTATATAATTAATAAACTTAGCCTCTAGATTAAACTGATTGAAAACTTAGGTAAATTGTCTTTTCCTGATAATTATAATGTGGGTTGTTCCTCTTTTCGTAATTTTTCAATTATCCTAAAATTAAACCGTCATTTCTGATGTTACTCTGGTAAATCAGAAGTTGATTGTCAAACTCATTTTAAAACTGAAATGGAATTGTAAGAGAAAACAAAACAGGCTTCATTTCACAACAGGAAAAAGCTGAGAAAATGTGGAACATGTATAGGAGATCAAGACATAAAAACTAGGTGATGTTTAACAGTCTTGAAAGCTTTATATAAATTCTGAAAATACAGCATAATCAAATGAAAAAAAAAGGGGGGGGGTGATATAATACAAACAAGTTGTAAGGTATTGTAAAAAGTTAAAATCTTAAAACCATAAACTTAACATACATTCTAGAGTAACTTTTAATAAAGTCCTGTATTTTATTTTATTTTATTTCTAGAACTTCGTGATGAAATTAAATTTTTTTTTGACAAAATCACTCCTACTCAAATTCTTCGTGCGATCAAAATATTTCTCTCTCTTCAGTTACTTTTCTTAAATGAAAAACTAATTAATTTCAGGTTCTTTTTTTTTTTTTTTTTTTTTGATAATCTGCTTAATGAATACAAAATGGTTTAACCTCGTCTATACGCTATGTATTTTCAGACATTTTAAATTTAAATTTCAGTCAATTAAAACTGTCAAATTTTTTTCAAGTTACATGTGCTATAACTAAATTTATAAATAATATTTTTATTCAAAATTTTTGGAGTAAAATTTAAATAACCTATGCCTTTGAATCTAAATAGCATATGTATTTCAAAAGATTATATGAAGGTCTCTCTTCAACATGAATTAAAATTCGTGTTTGATTCCATCTCAAAATGCATATAGCATTTTATCTAAAATCAAAGATAAATTAATGTTCAACTTAAAATTAAAAATAAAAAGTTTTCTTTTATTCCTATTATTTTGTAAGAAAACTTTAATATATGTGCACACAACTTAAAAAGGAAGTTAATACAGAAATATTTGCAAAAGAATAAATAATATAGCTCATATGGATAAAATTGCATAATATTTTGTTTTCTCTATCAAGAGCAATACACATACTACTATTTAAGTGCAGCTAAGCATTAGTATATGCTAAGTCTTGATTAAAACTGCCAAAATAACATCCATATAACATCAATTAACTTATCCACATGTAATCTAGAACATATATAGCTTAAGAGCTAATGACAGATGAAGAGAAAAAACATATTCTCATATTTATTTAATGGAAACAATGGCAGTATAGAGACATGCTGATGCAACATTGATAGTTAAAATTCAGATGAAAATGAATTGTATAGGTGCTCACATCTGAATAAAAAAAGGAGCACATATCACAGTTAGAACATTTTGAGATGTGAGAACATCAGAATTTTTAATGAAAATTTACAATGCATAGATTACAAGTAAGGAAACTAACAAATTATTTTACCTTTTAAAAGAATCAAGTAAAAAAAAAAAAAAAAAAAAAAAAAAATATTACTTTATTTTTTACTTTACTTCTACTTTCTCTTGAGAATTCTAATATAAAGAAAACAGAGTTTTTTTTTTTTTTTTTTTTTAATCCACCTTGCTTCATTAATTTAGTTTTTGAAAAAGAAAACATGCAAGAATAATTTTTAACATATAGACCTCCTACTGTTTTATTGCTGGCACTGGCTTTAAATAACACATTAAGAGATAATATAAGCTTTTGTAATCAACACTGATATTATGAAAATATGTTTTTGACAGATATTATATATAAAACCTGTGTTAATTTGAATATATTAAGCTTGCTACCTTCAGAAATATAATAAAAAATACTCTTTATCCCTCATAAAACTTTCATATGTAAAAATTTTATACTGCTTACAATGCTTAAATTCCTAAATTTGTAAAAAATCCAAGGTATTATACAGGACAGGAAATTACATTTTTATAGCATAAAAGATATTTTAATAAGTAGTTTGTTATAAAATATTTAATCTTAAAATATACTCTTTTTTTTTTCTTTGGATAAGCAGATATTTTTAAGTTCCTTTAATTTATTTAATCATAAAAACACATTCATGTTTTTTTTTTTTTTTTTTTAATTGGATTATGTTAAAAGCATACATTTGTATATGCTGCTTTTATGTTATATCTTTCAGCTGTGTCGTTCATAGTCTGTACCAGCAAATAATACCCTTTTAAAATTTAAAATATTTGTTTTACAAAATGCTACACTTGTTGAAAAATTAAACATTCTCAGAACTTCTTGGAATTAAGCCTAAAAGTGTAGACGAGTTCATATTTTTTAAAAACACTCTTCATACACTTGTCATTTTTCAGAAATAAAATTGAAAATACAGAATACAAACAAAACAAGATATCTTTCCAATATAAAACAAACTGATAATTTCTAAAATAAATGAGACTTTTCAGTTTTGTAAGCAAATTCATTTAAAAATAAATATGGTTCCTTTTCCTAGGTAAACAAGGTAACTTTTATAAGTAAACTAGGTTATTTTTAAAACGAATGAGGCTGCTTTCCTGCATATAATATATTAGTTTCCTTACAGGTAGTGAAAAATAGATAACATAAATAATTTGGCAGTAACAATAATACTCTCATATATATTACATGACCTTTGAATAGTTGCTCTATTTGTTTTTTAAAGTTTGAAAGCACCAGTTTTTTAATCACTGAATAATCTCACTCTTCAGTTTTTGAGCAGGAAATGACATCAAGCATCGGTGAGTTCGGTATGCACAAACAATCAGCTTGATCTATAAAAATAAAGTAAGTACAGTAAAAATTAAATGGCTGATAAATATTCTTTTCTTTCCGATTGATAAAATTATTCTAAAAAACACAACTGAGTCACATCAGTGTGAGCACTTCCTATATTTGATGTCAGTGTAAACAATCAATGTCATAGAGCATGTCTTAGGAGTAGATTCGGTGGGTAGATAAAGTGTTATACAAATTTGGGAAGTATTTCAGTTGTTGTCATGAATAAACAGCCATTTTTCAGACTTATGGAATGGAAGTCAAAAGGAAGAACATTTCAAAAACAGCACAGTTTGTGAATTATTTGCATGCTGCTATGGTGGAAAATGAACCAATAATGGTAATATGGCAAGATAAAAATATGTGGCGTGGAAATGCACAGTAGTATGAGCCATACATTAAAGAGACAAATGCCAGTGTATGTGGGCTAATTGACAAACTACAATGCAGCAACTTACAGCACAAATAACAAGTGTGTTTAAATTACAAGTTCTGCAAACCTTGTTGCATATGGAGCTCCACAACAAATTGATGATGACAGCACCTATGCTAATGATTGTTCATTATTAAAAGAAGCTGGAATTTACAAAGTAATACCAAGAGTGGTTCTCCACAGATTGACAAATGTCTGCCTTCTCCAATTAATCAGGCATTTTCTCTATTAGATGAATATATGTTAGTTTATACAGCGAGATACAATGGAGAATAAATACTTCTCAACCATTTATAGATGAATACAGGTTGACAGAGGCAATCTTATGATCTGGGGAATACTTCATTGCATTCTCTGGATCCACTCATCAATATGGATAGAACTACATATGACATTAAATGTACAGCGATCCTTGCAGATCATAAAAACCTATTGATATACATTTTTCCCCCTGGCAAAGTTGGCATCTTCCAGCACAGTGATCTTGCACAAGTGTTGCACACCTGTGCAAGTTGGTATGCACCAGGCAAAGTTGGCATCTAACACAGTGATATTGCACAGTTATTCATAGGTACATGTGAGTGCTTAGAAAAGCCCGAGGAAGATGTTACCATAGTTCTCTGGCTCCCAAATTCCTCAGACACAACCCAATTCACAATCTATGAGACTAAATTGATCGCAGTGTTACTTGATCAAAACTCTATTGATCTTTAGCCATACTCCCTCCTGTACCTATTAAGTGCACTGCAGTCAGGTTAGTTCCAACTCTTTCCATCACTTTACGGAATCCCTTCCAGCTCATCCCCATTGTCCATCCTGCAGCATTCCCATTGTCCATACTGCACATTAAGCATAATGGTTTTTTGAACATTAACAAGTGATAACATTAATGCGACTCAACTGTGTATTAAATAAAGTGAATAATAATGGTATAATTTCAAAGTTTAATAAATTAAATTAATAAGTTAATAAATTCATTTTTCATTTAATAAACACAGCTGAAGATTTTATAATTGCTAAATTTGCTTCACTTCATCACTCTGACATACTATAACATATATGTACATAATAACTTTTAATAAGTTGCTTGGAGTCAATACTTACTGTGAGAATCACCATAACTGAGTCCTACTTCTAAATTTTTAGGATTTATCAAATTTGATGGAATTTATCAAATTGAAATAATTACGTGTTCTTGGCCTTGTTAAAAATTACAGTTGAATAATAAAAAAGATAGCTATAAATTAAAAAATTTAAAGCTATATATTTTGTAGCTATGCTTTAGTAAAAATATACCCTCTGAAACATTAAAAGTGCTTCATCTGATGCATGGGTCTTAAAATTTAAAAATTCATGTTCCTTCTTACTTCTGATTATATAATTATTCTTGGACACTGGATGAATTTGTGCAACAATGTTGATTCCTTTAATGAGAATTAGAGTGCAACTTGCATTTTCTTACATCCTCACTGTTGACAGTAGATGAAATGATCGTAGAGACAAAAGAATCAGAGAAGTGAAGAGAAAGAAAATGGTATTCAACAGTAAAGGCAAGTATTAGAGATATATTTGCCATTTTTAATACTGAGAAATGTTATTCAAAAGATAATTATATGAGGAAATGTCACTAATAATATTTACAAGGTCAAGATTTGTGCAAGACTAACTTAAAAATACTTCAGACCCTACCAGATTGCCAAGTAAGTTATTGCGTTATCTGAAAATTATGACAGTCTAAAGAAGGTTTTAAATAAACCTTCTTTAGTTTATTTAATTTAAGTTTAACTTATATTTAATTTAAGTTTGAACTTAAAGAAGAAGTTAGAATTTAACAGAACAGTTTGACCTTAACCCATTAGCCGCTGGTGTTGCGTTGATGCAACGGTCAAAATAAATGAGTGTATAAATATTACTACCTAAGATATTTTATACCAGCAGATGATTTTGTGTAGGGAATATTATGAAGATTATTTATGTAAAAATATATTTGCCTTCAACAATCATTTTGGTTATAATAATTAATCTCATACTTTAAGCAAAATTTTCGACTGGTTATCAGTTTAAATAGTTTCAGTTTCGACTGGGTATCAGCTGAAAATATTTAACGAAAGAATCGCCGTCTTTATGAGTGATCTATTTTTTGGCAAGGTCACCTTTTATCAGAACATTACATCATTTAGATGTTCATATTTGTGTTGGGAAGGAAGGGAAAACAGGTGTTGCGCTGATGCAATGTCAGCAGGAAACAGGTAGTCAATTTCCTTTTTCACTCATTCCTTTCGATGTTCTGGTTATTTAAAATGCCTAGAAGAGGTATCTACATTAGAAGAAGCCCTTCAAGATTTTTTTGATGAGAAACGGATGATGATAATGTTAAAATGACAGAGAAACTGATATTGTTGTTGTTCCCCCAAATTGCAGAAACGGACAACGAAGAAAGGAATGCGATGTTTTAAATAATGATGATGATATTTTACCAAATGATATTGCTGGGGAAGTAAGAAGTAAGTTTCAGCCTTCTAACAGCAGTTACAGTCATACTAAAAAGTTCAAAAGGCAGAAGACTGAAGTCTTGAAGTGGATAAAAAGGAACTGTTAGTTATGTCTCAGGAAGAACATGAAGAAAGAGATAGAAGAGAAATTATAAAAGACAAAATACAAGGTAAAACTAATGCGCAGAAAGAAACATCACACGAGTACAATCCTACTCACTAAACAACATAGTCTTATTCCGATGATGTTGCACAAATGCAACATTCGCTTTTTCCACAAGAGCATTTTTTTTTATTTTCAATGTAAATTTTTGTTATAAATGCTTAATTTAATATTTGTTATTATTTTCATGAGAAAAGAAACATTCCTTGTAGTTTTGGCGGTTAATGGGTTAACAGAAGAAGTGAACTTAACAGAAGACACAATGCATGCAATAAAACTCTGCCATTTGTAGCTATTAAAGTGACAGAAAACAGTTCGGCATAACTAGACTGGCTCAAACTTTAATAGCATGATTTGACTTTGACTAGCAAAATGGCTAATTCCAAAATACTAACATAACAGAGCTGGTTGAGAAGAAGTAAAGCTGCAAGTGATGCTCCTAAAGCTCTTTCTAAAACATTTAAAACCCTTGTCTTAAACAATCTTAACTCATTTGCATCCTGGTGAAGGCTAATGAAAAAGATAAGTTATAGTACAGATCTGAATCATAAAAATGGGATAATTAATAGACAATGCTAAAAAAAGAGGATGGTAAAGAGAGCCGTAACCTCAGAAATGAAATACAATGTATTTTATATACTGAATAATGAAATTATCATAGTACACTAGGAAAAAATTCTAACAAACCATTATTAAAAAGTAAAAATAAAAATTTACTATTGACATAATCTTTAAATTAGCTGAATTTTTACTTTACTCAAGATATTAAACATTTTCATATATTTTATTAGATAAATCAAAAAAATTGTTGCAATTGTAAATGAAAATTTATTCATGTCATTTATAATCTAGAGATTTATAAATGTTAAAATTTTATGAATTAAAACAATTACTTTGCATTCCTTTATCTGCTTATTTCCTTATGCTTTCACATAATGACATTTAACATGTATTTTTTATGGTGGTTCAAACTGAATTTAAGTTACGAATTTTCCAAGTTATGTAATATTATGTTTTCTGGCCTCTCTCTCATATGTTTTGAAAGAAAATTCCTAACTTTAATTTAGAAATAGTGCTTTTAATTCCTCCTTTTAATTAGGCTACATCCTCTTCCTAAATGTATCACTTGAAAACTAATCTGCATTATACTACCATCATTAATCTTGCAACCCAGTTAGCTCTTGTTCAATTACCATTCAAAATTTAAACGAAGGATTCAACTCAGTGAATATGCTTTGCTGAAATGTGCACTAACTTTTTGCCTGCATTCCTCTCCCTATGATGTGCTATTGCATCGCTCTGTTCTCTATGTGTTTCATTGTCAGGAAAAATGTGATATGCTATGAAAACTTCTGGGGTGCTCATCGCACCCATATTGATGTGCATAATAAGAATATGTGTGCTTAGAATTAATCATCAAGAAATAAAATTGTTATCTCCGACAACATCTGCAAGTTTTTTCTTCTCCATTGTGTCATCTGATGTAAGCAAATCCTCAAATCACCTACAGTGTTGTGTAAATGAGAATATCAAGAATATTTAAAAAATTTTGGAAAGACTGATTATATAATATTTTTGCCAACACTTTTATGAATGCTCAATAAATAATAAAGATAATATAGCATCTATTTAATGATAAAAATTAATACTTGTATTACGATGTTTGTGAACAAATTTTAATGTAACAACAAATCAAATGAGAAGATTACTTCTGACTGTGGACAATGATCAGTCATTATGGTTACTTTGTTGTTTCCATTTTGCAATCCAGTCATTCTGAATACAGAATTTCCACCCTGAAAAGAGAGTAATTATACATGCATCAGGAACAAATACACTAGGAAATAAAATATTTGTGAAACATATATCTATAGATGAGAACAAAACATTTAAAAGTTTCAGTTATAGTGACATAATGAATAAATATATTAATAATCATCCATCATTTATTAAATTAAAAATATAAAACTGATATTTTTGTGACAGTTACATGCATTATAAGAAACAGCTGAAAAAAAGATATATTAGTCATTATTAATAAAAGCAAACTTATATTAAAAAAAGCTTGTATTTATTTATATTTTATTAATTAAGCATATATAATATATAAGTACAAGAACTTTAATTTATAATTTATCTCAAAATCTTAAATAAAACCATTTACAAAAGCTGGACAGGCAGACACTGAGATAAAGGAATTAGTTTCGTAAGAGTTCTTCTTGACCTGCTAAACATGGATACGTCTATGCTGCAAAAATGTCAAAAATATTGAAGTTGTAAGTGAGAAGCATGTAAAAAACATGCATAAAATCTTTAGAAAAATTATCAGTACAAATAGTTTTGGAGATAAACGTGTTCATACAAAAAGTTTAAAACTTTTTAAATTTAAAGGAATGGATGAAATGAAAGATACGTTAACAAAAAGAAATAAGAGCCACTTAAAATGGAATAATAGTGAAATACTGCAAGTCTGCAAAATAAATATAAAAAATTATGATGTTAAACATAAAACTGACAGACTTTTCAACTTATTCCAAAGAAATTAATGCTCTAAAGGAAATAAAGCAAAAATACGATTTAATGATTCATAGAAATTTAAAACAGAAATTATGACAAAATATTGAAAGTGAAATATATATCAAACTCAAGTTACCGGACCAGAAATAAACAAAAAAGAAAGAGTTCTAATTAGCAATCAAACATAGAGAAAATTCCAAAAACCGGATTAAAAAAAAAAAAAAAAAAAAAAAAAAAAAAAAGAAGAAAGAAAGAAAGAAAGGAGAAAAAAAAAATTAATCTTTAAACTGGTTAAATGTTTTTATGCAAAATACTTACCACATATACTCATATATTTATTTCCAGTACTATTTTCAAAACGTATTAATTACTGTTTACAGTCAGATGTTCTAACAGTTTGTCTGTTCAATCATAGACACCATACATTAATTCCCAGTCCTTTAAACCTCCAGATTTCATTAAGTTCTTTCAATCTATTTCCTAATCATTCTCTTCCTACATTTCTTTTCTTCTTTTCACAATCAAGATGAAGCAATCTTTTTTTAAGTTAGAATTTATAAAAAAAAAGTTGCTTTTGCATCTAAAAGACATATTCTCCTAGCTTCTCTAAGAATACTCTTTGCATAAAGACTGAGGTTTCTGAAAAACTTTCATGCAGTCTCTCATTTAAATTTACTCAGACTAAAACTACATTCCTCTTGATGGTCACTTGTACACTACACCAGCACTTATTTTTCACAAAAAGTTTACAACATATTTTAGAACCTTAAAAAAAAAAATTGATTGTTTTTAAACTGAGGTAAAAATAAATGTGACTTCTTAATACTTTATTAAAAATTCCACTTTTTTAATTTAATAAAAGGCAAAATTATGAAATTGGAGGTAACATAATGAAGCTTATGTATGATACCGTAGAGACATTAGATTGTTTCAAAGCAAGGAACATGAAAAATGAGCAATGCCTTAGCCGGGACTCGAACTACGGACCTCTTGAATACGCATTGAGCGTGCTGACCACTATACCATGAAGGCATGCTAAAAAGGCAAGAGAAATACCTTATATACAACCCCTTTTAAAGGGCAACTGGGGATTAGGGGACTCAGTCGCAAAATCCTGGTGGTGAAGAATCATCATCCACCACCTTTTTTAGTTTGTGTGCCACTGTAGAGACACTAGGTTATTTCGAAACAAGGAACATGAAAAATGAGCAATGCTATTGCCATGACTTGAACCACAGAATTCTCCAATACGCGTCGAGCGTGCTGACCACTACACTATGAAGGTATGCTAAGAAGCAGGAGAAATACCTTGCTAAGAATATATGCTAAGAAGGCAGGAGAAATACCTTATAATATATGTGAAAATTTATAAAAAAACATACTTATTGGCCAATTTTTTTTATTAATCTGGCTATATTTTCAAATATGGCAAAACTAATACCTCTGGAGAGCTGTTAATGGTTTTCCATAACTGGTTTCTTTGGGTTCATTACCAATAATGACATAATAGTTAAAATTATTAACCACAGAGTATTTTTCCTCCATTAACATAATTTTAGTAATTTTACCATATACAATATCTTTTTAAATATGCCATAAAATTAACACTTTATTTTTATGAAATTTATTTGAATTCTACAAAATATCTGACAGAAACTGCATAATTTTTCTAAAGTAATTTGCTTTTAAATGAAATGAGACAATTTCTACATGTGCATGCACACAGTTTGCCCTAAACCACTTTTTAGATTAAACAAGATATTTTATTATAATATTTAATTCACTTTGCTTTCTTATTTTTTGCACTCAGAATATGTTTAACCATAAACAATAATGGAATTAAGAGCTACATTTAGAAATTCTTCATAAATATCTTTAAATAGAAAAATATATTCTTTTTTTTAAATGAATATATTTTTAAGAATTAGCTTTCAGTACATAAAAAACAAACATTTATTTATGTACAATCTCATGCAATACTGGCGTCCATGGCACGAGTGCATTTCTAATGAATTTCAAGTTTCTTTGTCATTAGCATGGAATAAATCTCTAGTTAGATGACAACACAGAACTTAAATACACGATAAACTGCAAAAATGTAAATGTGTTATTTATAAAATTCAGCCAGCATAAGTATAAAGTACATCAAATGTACAAAGTATTACAGTTAAATCAGCAAATGCCATAAAAGAAATTAAAAAAAAAATTATCAATACCTCACACTGAAATAAAACTTCCAAAATTAATTCATAAAGATATAAATTTTATAATAAATATTAACCTTATAAAATAAATCTTGCTTTATGCCATTGATTAAAACTCTGTTCACAAGTGAATCTGCCTCAAACTCGCATTTTATGGAAGTACCTTCAATGGTGGAATTGGCAATGAACAAAAGATTCTGCTTCCCGATTTTCTCTGAAAATGTAAACAAATACATTAAAGAAATTTTTAGCCTACATGTAAATAAAAAAAAAATCTGAAAGCTTTCAGATTTCATATTATGCCAAAAGAGGCCCTTTTTTTTTCCATTTACATACACATACATGTTTTGAGAGCACTTGGGCAACTGTCCCTTTGGGATAAAATTATTTTAAAATAATATACTTTTAGAATTTCTGATAGACAGACTCGCACACTAGAGATACAAATGTTTTGTTCTGCACAGTTTTATTCCATTTAAGTTTTACAAAATATAAAACAAATAATAAAACAAATTCGAAATTCAAAATTGGGTTTCCAGGTGTCCATGTTAGGGTGGAGGACTATATTATTCAAAATTTGATGACTCTCAGTACCATTAATACGAGAAACATACATACATTCATACATTCTTCATTATTTAATTTCTTCAAATACAATACAGGCTGATAATATTTGGTGGCAACAATTTGAAAAATGATTCAATGCTTTTAGTGATTAGATGCAAAATGCCATTTCGAGACTAACAGCCCTTCCTAGTTAATAACAATGACTTAAAAGTTATTGACAAGCTTAAAGAGCATATATAGAGATCAGAATAAAGCAGTTTTTTCTAACAGGAAATCTATAGACTCCATACAATTATTCTACATTATGATAACTCAAGTTCAAATTCTTATTTACTCAGGATTACTTCAGAGATCAAGAATAATATTTAAAAGTTATTATACTCTGACCTCTTTACAGGACCTTTAAATTTGTCCTTTAAGCCTACAGAATCACTTTACACACTGATGTACATTAATACTGCAACATTAGGAAAGATGTATCCTGTTAGCCAAAAATTTTCCTGATGCATTTTCTCAAAATGCAGTTTAGATGATTCGAAGTAAATGATTAGAAGCGCTATGCAAATCATATACATTAGTAAAACTTTTGAAAGCAATTTATGATGAAAAAACAGAAAGAGGATAATTATGGAACTATGCTTTATTCATAGTCTTCTAAATCTTTGTTAAATTCTTTCAATCTACTTTCTAATCATTCTCTTTCTGATTTTCCTTTCCTTCTTTTTCACAGTCAAGATGAAATTTTTTTTTAAAGTTAGAATTTATAATAAACAGTTTTCTTTGCATCTGAAATGAATATTCTTGCAGTTTTGCTAAGAACAATTTTCGTGGAGACTGAGGTTTCCGAGAAATTTTCATGCAGTCTCCAATTTAAACATACTTAGACTAAAACCGCATTCCTTTTTTAATGGTCACTTGTGCATTGCAGAGGCACTTATTTTTCATGACAAGTTTAGAACATATTTTAGAAGCTTCATGTTTCCGACTTTAAAACTGGAATAATTGTTTTGTATCAAGAAAATCCTTCTAAGAAACTAATGCTTGTGTTGGGCAAAATATGGCTACAGTGATGCAAAAGTAAAATCTGTGTACTAAAGAGAATCAAACTTATTGACCTGAAGGATTGAAATAGTCTCATAACATTTTTGAATGAGACAACATACATTCCACATACATGATTATTATGAGTTGAACAGCTTTATTACAAGACCAAGCTCAATATCAAGCATGTTGCACTGCAATCACCATTCACTTGTGAAGTTCAATGTCATTGGAAGCAATAGGGGCTTTTCAAAAAGTGCCATTATCGACATAACAAGTCTTTTCAGACAGATCCCTCATCCTTCTGCAACACCATAATTATTGTGCCTGTATTTGATGACACCATGGCAAGAGACTGAATGAGTTATGATTCACCATACCTTTCTGACATTTAAGTACTAATGGATTCTAGTTTCATTCATATTAGCATGCATTCCCAGTAATTCCCACTAATCAGCTACTGTCAACTGTCACATTCCTGAAGTGTAGAAGCTTGCTATATATTCTCAGTTGTAACGTAACTCAACCTCATCATTCTGACAGCAATTAAAATCTCAATATGACTTCAGTTATCAGCAAAATAATAAGTGCCCACATATGCTGCACAATATTCAACATTTCCTGGATGACCACCATCTTCTATTTTTTCCTTTGAGTCAGACATCTCTGGCCCATCATCACAGAAAGACTGATGCACCACAAACGATTTATGGCAGCAAATCAAAACCAAATGCACTGAAATACACCAAACAAAATTCCAGTATCCTTTCCCATGTCAGATTTACAGTAGTAACTAGCGTCATCCAAATCAGCTGAATGACTTATTGGTTTCTTTGTACTCGCCAAACAAAACAAGCTATAACTAGATTATTTCACTCTTGTCCATAAGATAAATGTGTAATAATAGCCCTTACCTTTTATTGTGTTCAACTTTTAATGGCTAGCATTTCATACACACACACACACACACACACACACATATATATATATCTATACACACACATAGTGTGTGCACAAAAGTCTTTACCTGGCTTTATTTTTTGCAATACTTGGTGGCAGAGAAATACTTCTAGTTACAAAAGTGTTTAAAGTGATAAAAATAGTGTTTGTCATTTTTAAACTTCTAACTTGTTATGCGTTCTTTCGTCCCTATACTTATGCTTCAACAAATGTTATACTCCTTATGAAAGCAAAACACACATAAAAAAAATATCCCTCTTGTCTGTGATATTTGACACTAAAATCGAACATCATATGAAGGAGGTGTACATAAATTGAAGAGCGAAATGTTTACAATTGTCTCTAACTAAAAATAAAATATCGGTTTAGAAAAAGGTTCCTGATGTTAAGGATTAAGGGAGGAGCTTATCTATGTAGACTGTGAAAATTATTAACCAATATGCTCATATATATATATATGGTGTGTGTACAGTAGAGCACTGCTTATACAACTTTCAAGGGACCATGCACAAACGACATATAAATGAGAAAGACTTATAAACAAAATTTTTATTTGTGGTGTGAAAATATTAACTGTACAATTTTGATAATACTAACATCTGTATTGATATTGCTCAAGTTTATTATCGTACTTTCAATTTGTTTAAAATATTAACTATTTTCAAACAAATTTAAAATTAGTATTTAAAAAAAAATTTAATTAATATTTTAAACAATTACACAATTTAATTTTTTTACAATTAATAACTTAAAATGACATTAATACAAATATAATATTTTTAAAATCATAAGAATGCAAATTTATGTAATGTAAAATTAAGTAAAACTGAAAGAAAAGTCACACCTTTACTTGAATTACCATCTTGAATAAGTAATATTTCTCTCTGTATACAATAAGCTTTTATTTAAAAAACAAAAAGCAGAAAAATTATTTCATATAGTTCAATAAGAATAATACATTAAAAATTCTAAATATAGAATTCATCTATAATCTTGTATAATAAATAATAAATGGGTGAGGTGCACATGATAAATTTTAAAAGATACTGGCTCATACATTTGGAAATGCAACTAAATTAATAGAAAATTAAAAAAAAAACATAATGGTTGATGCATTTGAAAATGCCATTAAATTAATAGAAAATTAAAAAGATAATGACTGATGCATTTGTAAATGCAATTAAATTAATAGATTTCATTATTTAGGCACCTATACCTTATTATTTGAAATATATAAAACTGTAAATGAATTCTATAAATAGACTTATTTAATCTATTATTCCCATTTAACTATAAGTTATTTTTCTCCTTTTAGTGCATTTATTATTACAATTTTAAATAAAAGCCTACTGAATAAAAATGATTTCTAATTGAATTTTATTTTCAGTTTTTTAGTCTCAATTTCACATTGTGAACAATAAAATTTTAGTTGTTATGAAAACACAAGCAAGAAAAATAACTGAACAGATCATTCAGAAAATAAAGATATTGCTTTGAAAATTCAGTTTCAGAAATTGGATGCAATAATGTTATAATGAGCATTTTACTTAAAATAAAAAAATAAAATAAAAAAAAAATATTGCCAATGCCAATTAAGTGCACCAAGATAGAAAACCCCAAAACAATTTTTTAATGAGAAATGCTTTTTTCTCCCATCTGCTTAAGCCTTTAATACATTTTTTTTTAAAGTAGAAAATCACTGAATTAATATTTTTATCATTCTTGTTTTCAGTGAAAATTTCAAAACATTACATCCGACACAGATATCATAAACACCATACAGTTTAATAATTTAATGTCATCATTTTAATAATAACATAATTTAATAATTTAAAATCATTTTCAAAATTTTGCCAAAAATTCAGAATTTAAGCTACAAATTTCATACAAGTTTCCATTGAAAAGATTCTTTCTCCTCTCTATTCGATAATGCAAACAATGAAATTCTGATATGTTTAGTTTGCTCATTAAACGAAGATATGTGTGAATATCCTTTATCTGTTAAAAGTCTAAATCAAGTTTTGAAAAAAATTGCTCCACCACATTCCATTGTTATCAACAATCAGTGTGCATTCAGGATTTGAACTCTTTAGCTTATCAGGAAGTAAATTAAAAATCAATTTCACTCATTGAAACAGCATAAATTAACTTAATAGACATATAATAATGTCAGATGTACATAAGCTTATAATGACGTCATTATTATAATGAACTTATAAAGATAACAGAAATTGGGAAATTTTGAAATTAAATATCTAGGCAAACTTGTGTTGTATGGGAATTAAATATTTTGTGTTTTATTTTTTATAGCAAATACTTTTCCTAAATACAGGTAAATAAATAGAAATGCACAAAAAGATTTCCTCATTTTTACAAGATTGATTGCTTTAAATATATATATATGCCAAAATACGAATCTTTGTGATATTTGAAACATTTTTGGAACTGAAAGTATAATATCAATGAGTGAGATCAGTGAAAATAAAGACTAGGTAGGGACTTCCGTGAACACGTCGTGCATGTAAAGGATATAAAACACATAAGATAAAATACTAAGTTTAATTTGCAATATTTCTTAAACTCTTCATTTTAATCTGGTTATTTTCCTTTTCCATCCTAAAACTACTAACTGCTTATAATAAATCG